TAGCACGCTCTTTTGAATATACTAATTACTTACTATTAGAAATAGGCTCATGAAATCTTATACCACTATAACCTAACTAACAAGTATTGTATCTCAAAAAATTGCAAACTGGCAACAATAATATTGCTGTCAGATCGACCATATTCTCATACATACCTCATGTCAAATTTGACATCAGTCAGATAAAGTTACAGAGGGTCCACAATTTAAAAGAACCCTTTTTTCTATTTACTTGTATATTTTGCCACCTGTGAAAAAAAAATAATGTAATAAACTTTAGCGTCAAAAGCTGAAAAAATGCAGACAAATATGAAATACACATGACTATATAACGCACTCCAATAAGTTGTTGACTTTTTAAAAATCGATCTGTTTTCGTTTTCAAAACTAAGAATAACGTTTCGTTTAATTAGTTTGGACGGTTTTGTTTATTTGTGAGCTTTCATAGCGTATAATAATTTTAGCCAACACGGATCTAAGTTCACAGAGTAAAATACCCAAAGAAATAGAGAAAAATCTAAAACTATTCCACAAATAAATAACTTTAGGCAATATCTTAAAAACACATTGTATACTTAATGGTTTTAGTTGTGTTTCCTTCACGGATTCTTGACATTATTCATGAAAAACATTTGCTGCTCATTGGACATTTTATTACAGTAAAAATTATTGGTACTTTAGAAACCTCTGCAAGAATATGTAACGTACGACTTCACTAATATTATTATTTAAAACGTTACATTATTGAGGTTATGTACGTTCACATTTAGTTTAAGTTCGATATCTCCATCAATATTATCATCAAGATTTATTTTAATATCATTCATAATATTTCACTATCCTTCTAATTTCTTTCTATCAAACTTCACTGATAAGGTTGGCGCAAGGAAAATAAAAGTATGTCAGATTAGATAAGATTAAGTTGGGTTGAATTAGAGTAGATAAGTTCGTACTTTTTTCAAGTTAAAGTCATTTAGACAAATAAAGTTTGATAATGATAATACTATCGTATATGTGTCCAAGTATCGTCATATATTTGAAACGGTGTTTATAGTTTACCCACAAAATATAACACATACATTACATTGTGTAAAATTATTAAGCATTTAGATATATCATTTTCATATTTCTAAGCATATTTACCTATAAGATTATATTACTTTGCACTTTGAAATGTAATAGTTGTAATCCTTTATGTATTTTTATCATTTCTTAAGTAAATATAGATTAATAAATGTGATTTTACAGTGTACTTATGACTCAGACAATTAGATTATATGTTTTGATGTAAATTTACATTTTAAATGGTCAGCAAAATTACATACTAAAGTACTTCTACTTGTGTAAGCTTTTATTATTATGACATCAAATTAACCAACGGTATAAGGTTTTCCAAAAAGTGTATCGGAACTTTAAAGTGAGACACAGTAATAACTACAAATGATAATGCCATAATATTTATTTACTGAATGAATTCTGAAGATCCAACTTGCTTAAAAATATTCCACTTGGTATATTTTCAATGGTGCATTGAATATTTAATTTAAGGTCGGGAATTGTTTTTGGATTACTTATGTAAACCAAAGATTCTGAAAGCATAACCCCATTGGAAAAACTCCAAAGGGGTAAGATCACGTGATCTTAGCGACCAGTTAACACTAGCACGTCTCGAAGTAACCCGTTTAGTAAAACTGTTGTTGCAATAAATCAATTATTGTCTGATGAAATGAGAGTATGAGAGTAAATGTGAGTAGTCACTTTACGTTGTTAAAAAAAATGTCTGTCAACATCTATCAGCTTAGGCCGAAGATATTCTGTTAGCATATTTCAGCAACGCTCTCCATTACAAGTAACACAATCTCCATCATCTTCTTTAAAAAATATCATCCGCTCACGCTTTGAACCTAAAAAAAAACAACACCAAACCTTCTGAGCATAAGGAGGCACCTCCTGAATCACTTGAGGATTCTCATTAGCCCAAATTCTACAGGCAGTTATGTATATTTACTAATGAACTACTCTAGCGCTCAGTTCACGAAAGTTCGACGCATATGAAGCTCAGCTGGCCTCAGTTCTTGAGTAATCTGGACTCTGTAAACCTCCAGATGAAGATCGTGGTACAAAATTCTTCACATAATCGTCGGATTCGGGTTCTGAATAATTTTTTTTGCCTCCGTGTACGACCGGTTTACTATTGTAAGAGACCTTAGTTATACAATAGCTAGCGTTTTAGTGTTTCTTCGCGTTCCAAACGAGCGTTTCTAATTCAAATTGATTTTTTATGAACTTGCACATTTTTCATATGCCATTTATCATATGTATATAAAACATTTCAAAACACAAAATATAACATTCAAAAAAAAAGACATAACAAGATGTTTATAAGATACACAAAAAGAATATGACACACAAGAAGAAGAACACACACACACAAGAAAAAAAGAAAAAAAAAGAAAAAAAACTATACAAGAAGAATAAGCTTCAATAGTATTTCGAAATTGTTTCATTCCAAATGAGGTATTCATTCCAAATACATGCCTATTATCGCAGATATTTACTTTTCGTACTTTATTTATAACAATTAATTACCTCAAAAACCTTAAATTCTGACCTTATATACGTTTTACGCGACCTCGATACTAGGGACACTCAAAATTTCAATTAGATTCAATGAATTAACGTGATATATCGGTCATTCTGTATCAGCCATCTTGAATTCGAGATTTTTTACTGCAAGTTCGGTTTTAGCATAAAGACTCCACTTTTGGTGATGGTGTAAACCTTTTCGGTCTTTTATCCAGCTTTTTCGGATTTCCGACCACTGTGCAATGTCCTAAGTAGAGTTTGACATTGACATTTCGAGCCATGCTGCCACCATTACATTTTTAAGTTCTGAAAGGCCTATTGAAAAACCCTATATATTAACATATACAGGGTGTTCATAAGTATCATGTACATAAAGGAGGAGTTAATTATTTGGCTTATTTCATGACTAAAAGTTCATATAAACATAGGTCCGCAAACGCTTCGTTACTGATCTACAGGGGGTTGAAATTTAAAGATTTTTTTAGATTTTCTCTATAGCTCCCACAGTTTTTGAGATATTTAGCTCAAATTTGGAATATAGGTTACGCTGTAGAGCTTACATCATTGGACATGCCAAATGGTCGTGATATTCTACAGAGTGATATTTTTTCGGGGTTCATGCCCCCTTTTCGTCCCCTGAACTTTTTGTGCGGTGCGTCGCTGGTAGATTCTAAAATCAAAATTAGATTTTATGTTTTGTTAGGAAACTTTTTTACCACTTATGATTTTTTCGTATCTGCGACCGTTATCGAGAAAAAAGAATAAAAAACGATTTTATGTAATTCGTTGGATGAAAGAGCGACCGAAAAAAAGCCTAATTTTTCGACCCTTTGTGAGACCTCGTAAATTTACTCCAAATATGTGCCAAAAGATAGTCTATGATGAGACTTAAATCGTCTATAAGTTTTAGCTTGAGGCTGCATTTCGTTTTCGAGTTTCGGTTGATTAAAGTTGTCATTTTTACATGGATTGTTGGATCGAGGTTACACCGCTAAAAAAAATCGCTTGCACTTCACATGTGGCATATGTATTCTGAAGTACTTTTTCGCGCTAACTACGAATTTGCTATTAGAATTGCTTCATCACCCTTCGGTCTTCATGAAATGACTGAAAAGCTTTAAAAAAATGAAGAATTTCGAAGATTCCAAGATTAATTCTTTGACTTCCAAATGACCTGTAGTCATAGAGATTAACGAACCTTTGATTTTAAATCAATGATTTCGTCAACATTTCTGGGAAAGGTTTCTGAAGACCTTTCCCAGAATCTGAAGTCATAGAGATTAACGAACCTTTGATTTTAAATCAGCGACTTTGAAAACCCTAGAACAAGCCATGTAAAAATGACAACTTTAATCAACCGTAACTTGAAAACAAAATGCAGCCCCAAGCTAAAACTTATAGACGATTCAGGTGTCATCATAGACTATCTTTTGGCACACATTTGGAGTAAATTTATGAGGTCTCACAAAGGGGCGAAAATTTCGGTCGCTCTTTAAATTCTTAAAATGGTCCAGTAGGCTCTGGCTTTATATAGATCTCTAGAATCTCTTGTTTTTGTTAATTTTAACAATTTATTCACCACTACCTGTTAAAAATTAAAGCTGGATGACCCATTTCAAAATTCGTAAAATTTGGCATTATTATGAGATTATAATGAGTATTTAAAACACTTTTACACCTTACAGTTTGTAACATAAACCTTTAATTTTTAAACATATGCAGACCTACGTTACTATTTCAAATGCGAACTGTCTGAATTAATAGAAACAAGAAATTATCTAAATAAAGCCAAAGCCTACTGGTCCATTTTAAGAATTTAAACATCTAACGAATTACATAAAATCGTTTTTTATTTTTTTTTCTCGATAACGGTCGCAGATACGAAGAAATCATAAGAGGCTAAAAAGTTTCTAACTAAAACATAAAATCCAATTTTGATTTTAGAATCCACCAACGGCGCACCGTACAAAAGTTCAGGGGAAGAAAAAGGAAGCATGTACCCCGAAAAAATATCATTCTGTAGAATATCACGACCATTTGGCATGCCCAATGATGTAGGTAAGCCCTACAGCGTAACCTATATTCCAAATTTGAGCTAAATATATCAAAAACTTTGGGAGCTATAAAGAAAAAACTAAAAAAATCTTAAAATTTCAACACACTGTAGATCGGTAACGAAGGGTTTTCGGACCTATGTTTATATTAACTTTTAGTCATGGAATAAGCCAAAGAATTACCCCCTTCCTTATGTACATGATATTTAGGAACACCCTGTATAACTTTACGTAAAGCTTTTATGCCAACCACTCGACAAATAACTTGCGGAGTATTATCAAACTAAGTACCTGTGCAATTCTAGTAATTATAGTTGCGTTGTTTAGGATGACAAGTAATAGTTAATATTTCTGTTGTAGTTAACCGAAACCACGCAAGCGATGATCCGGAGTATCTGACCCGACAAGACAAAGAAGACAAATCATTCGAACACCACGATCGATCTCAAAACGAAACCAACTCAGGAACCAAACCCCAAATACGTAAATGCGAAAGAGATAGCGCCCAGTGCTAAACGCACAGCCGTAGTGTGCGCGGACCTTAATGTGGTGTAGCTCAACGGCTTAACCATTGGCGTAGAGATTGCCCCTTCACTTTGCCCAATGGGGGGCGACACCTCCCCGGAGCAGCAGTACTCGCTGCGATGGAACGACTTCCATTCGAGCATTTTGTCGTCCTTCCGACACCTGCGTGACGAAGAGGATTTCGTGGATGTGACCTTGGCGTGCGACGGTTGTTCCTTCAAGGCCCACAAGGTGGTGCTGTCCGCTTGCAGTCCCTACTTCAGGAGGTTGCTGAAGGCCAACCCCTGTAAACACCCCATCGTTATACTTAGGGATGTGCGACAGAAGGATATGGAGAACTTATTAAGGTAAGCTTTTAATCGTCATTTTTCATTGAGAAAAAATGCGTACACCACAAAAATATATTAAAGAACAAAAATATGCACAGGCTGTCTCAAACTCTATAGTATGGGCCTACTGTGAGGATTCCTTTTTCCTGTTAAAAAGCTCTCTTTTTTCTAATACACTTTTAATAGAGAAATGTTTCTGTATTATTTACCGTTTAAAAGTTATAACCAATATCGGCCTAAAGAGTCTCAAAAGAAATACCACCACCTAAAAATCACATTAGAGGTGGAAGGATCAAGTAGTCGTTGGAAAATAATCGAATGTTCGTTGTTTAAAGTGCATAAATGTCATAAAATACTTGTCATTACTTAATACGAACGTAAAACGTATAACTTTTGTGCTTACAAAATGTTTTCTCATTCAGAAAAAGTTGATATGTTGCTAATTTACGGAGAGTCACAAAAAAATTCAAGAAGAACTGTAGAGTTATATCGAGAAGGTATCCAGAGCGTCTCATTCCTGATCATAGAACCTTTACAATATTGGAGGCTTTGGAAATATTGGAATATTTGGAGACTTTGCGATGAAATAAAGATGCATTTTCTGTTCGGAAAAATCAAATAATTGACCGAAGGGTAAGAAACAATGTTAATACAGCTAGACTGTTACCAGATTTCGAACAAAATCCACGAAATTCTATACGGCAGGCTAGTCGGGAATTAAATTTGGATAAATCAGCCGTTCAACGAATTTTAAAGACCAATGGGTATCATTACTACAAAATTCACAATTTGGAGTATTTGCCTGAGCGTGACAATGAAAACAGATTTAATTTTATAGCTCCAATTGTAGTAAATGTAGAAACTGTCCATCAGAACCTTTTTCGGCACGTTCTTTGGACGGAGAAAGTCGGTTTGTCAATAATGGTTTGCCAAACAGACACAACAAACACTACTGGACCATTAAAAATCCCCACATTGTAAACCAGTCCAACACCAAGGCCATTTTGGAGTAAATGTATGTTGCAGCATCATCAGTAGGCATTTAATTGGGCCTAATTTTTATGAACATACATTGAACAGCGTGAGTCACCTAAATTTCCTACAAGAAAAACTTCCTGCACTTCTAGAGGATGTGCCTTTGCAGCTAAGGAGAAACCTATGGTTTCAGCATGACGGTGCTCCACCTCACAAGAATTGTGCAGCAATATTTAAATAAACGGCGAAAAATAAATGCAGCCCACATAGAAGTGAGGCGGAGATTGGATATTGTCTTGAAATGAGAGGTCATATAGAGACTAGATTGTAATATGTATGTAGTATGAAAGTGTTTACCTCATTTTTTAAGTTTAGTTATTGTTCTCATCACATTTTTTAACTGTATTAAAGAATTATCGAGTTTAATCCTTTTATTTATTCTTAATGACATTTATGCACTTTAAACAACGAACATTCAATTATTTTCCAACGACTACTTGATCCTTCCACCGCTAAGTGGTATTTATTTTGAGACTCTTTAAGACAATATTGCTTATAACTTTTAAATGGGAAGTAATGCAGAAAAATTTCTGTAATAAAAGTTTATTAGAAAAAAGAGAGCTTTTTAACTGCAAAAAAAATTGGGTATGTTTCTGGAAAACATCAATTGATGACATCATTAGTCGTTTCTATCAAGCCCCAAAGATAATATTTTCGATTGAAAATGGAGCTTACCTCATCCCACTTAATACCACGTGTCCCAAATTTTATTTCAATTTTTTGTATCCTCACAGAAGGCCCTATGTACATGTAAAATTAAAGATATTTTGGTGTAAATAAAATTTTTATTTCAAGTTTTCTGGAGACAGCATTGTTTATTTTTGACCAACTTCATTGTACCGGATAATATTTTAAAATTCGAACCCAACAATATATAAAATTCCTTACTATTCACATTTTATTAGCCAAATAATCAACAAAACAAAAAAATCCATGTTTAGGATAAGATTCCTTCACCAATTTCAAAAGTGTGCTCTCAAAAACTATTATTACCAGAAAATAAAATTCAGTATTTATGTTAAAAATTATATATAAGGTAAACTAGCAGTCATGTTTTTTGTAAACACTAGTTGTTTCAATTTTCCAAAACTTACCAATCAAAATTTCGAAATTTATGAATGCGTTTTGCTTATAAAATGTCGATACCATGACATATTCATCAGATTCGTAATGAAATTCGACGTAACAAAATGTATGATGACGGTCAAAAATAAATATTGATTTCCAATGGAAGCGAAAGTTGAACACATTATTGGCTGTCACAGAACAAGTTTGTAATGACCCTGTATCTTTTTTTTAAGTAATACAAGATATATTCCTATAAAATAAATAGATACAAATATATTTCATTTATTCCCCCATTTTTTTTTATATTGATGTTCAATTGTTTTTCTAAATATACAGGGTGCTACGAAATTCGCGGGCACGGACCGTGGAATCATATTAAGCTAGATAAGGTGATAAGTGTCTTTATGATTTTTCAATCAGACCAGTATTTTTTGAGATATAGCAGTATCAAATATACAAAAATAATAAAAATATATAACTATAAATTTTCAGTCATTACATAAACAATTACGACAAACAAGTTACAACATTGTTCAAAATTTCCACCGTCTGCTGTTAAACATGCTTCAGTACGTCGTGCTACTGCTCGAATGGAGTTGCGTTTCAACTCTGGTGTTATTTGCTGAATTGATTGAAATAGGCGGTTCTGCAATTCATTCAAATTTGCCACTGTTGTTCTATACACCAACGTTTTTAGGAAGCCCTAAATGAAAAAAATCACATGGCGTTAGGTCTGGAGAATGAGGTGGCCAAGCAAATGGACCACCTCTGCCAAGCCAACGTCCAGGGAAAGTAATCACGCACAGTTAATTAATGCGAAATGGGCACCTGCGTCATCGTGAATAAAAATCATATTTTGACTTACATTATAGACACACGCTACAGAGTCGTCTACTTCAGACAATACAACAAATAACGCCAGAGATGGCACGCGACTCCGTTCGAACAGTAGTAGCACAACGTGCTGAAGCATGTTTAGCAGCAGATGGTGGAAATTTTGAACAATTCGTTTGTCATAATTGTTTATCAAATGATTAAAAATTGAAAATTTTTATTATTTTTAGATATTTAGAACGGCCGTATCTCGAAAAATACCAGTCTGATTGAAAAATGATAAGAGACATTTTTTATAACCTTATCTAGCTTAACATGATCCCACAGTCCGTGTCCGCGAATTTCGTAACACCCTGTATAATATGATTCCGAAAGACTTTTTACGTATTACTGCCAAATAAGTAAATTGCAGTAAAAGGGTAATTGTGGATCACCCTATATATACAAAAGGAAATATACATCAATATTTCGGGAAATATAAAAAATAGCAGTCATTCTGAATTTGGAATAAAGTCAGGATATGTTAAAGATGTTGTTCATTAATACAGAGACACTTCATTTGGTGCTACAAAGTAACCCCGCGACTTTTATTAAAATACAAAGTATCTTTTCCATTATTTAAAAGTTTATCAAATATTTTGACTTTATAACCTAAATTTACTAAATTTTTAAATATTGCATTTGTTTATGAAAATACTAAAACATTAATTTGCATTCATTTGATTACTTGAAAGATGCAGCGTTTAAATTTTTTAATGAAACTAGTATTATCTAATCGGGTTTTATCAGAGCCCTTGATAAGGTCCACACATGTCTATAACATTAGACGTAAGCCTATGAATTCTCAATAAATCACAAAACCACAAATAGTGAATTTAAATTTAAATTATTTTAAATAAAAAACTAAATTAGTAATTATGTTACTAGTCGAAAAACAAATGTTAGCAAAAGCTTAAAAATCTCTAAAATTCTTTAATGAAAGTAAATGTTTGGCCCTCATGGTCTCCTCCTCATGTTATGTAACTGCTAGATTTCAGTGGATTTGTAATTAAATGATTTTTTTATATCGTAACTACGTTCATGTGCGTCAAAAATACCATTAACGAATCTTTATTTTAATTTAACTTCGTTTGATATAAGATGTTTTCTGTTTCCACTTTTCAATTACATTATAACTCCCCACTCCAGAAAACACACACAGCCAGAATTTTGTTTTCAACAAATAGGTCACAATCCTAGAAGGTCACTAATAAAAAATGAACTAAATATAAAAAGTGAAAAGATCCGATATCAATCTGGCCTTTCTTCCATTTGATTCCGTTCGCATATCAATAGTTTTTAGGTGCGCCTGTCTTACGATAAACAAGCAAAAATTACCCCAATCAATAGACGTATAATTGTAATGGTTACGGTGATTCAGATACCTAAGAAAGCTTCAGCGAAAAAATTGAGTACATGTCCTTATATGTAGATATTCCCATTGCGTTTGCTCCACTGACTCTAATCTTTTGTGGTTTTGCCTTCTTGTGAAAAATAATTAAGTTTATTACTAAGCATAATCAATATAATCACTAAGCAGACTAAAATTTTTTTCATTTCATTACTCTAAAAGTATTTCAATCAGTTTCAACATTCAAAATCTTGCGGTTAAAGCAAAGAGTTCCAGTTTCAATAGAGTATTATATTGCACCAAATATAACTATTGCAAGTCATGTAGCTATCCATCTCAACAAAAAGTGAATCCATTTAGCTGTAGACAGACTTTTGGATGTTGAAAATGTAAACAACTAAAAAATTATGTACTTTAATATGTGGGGGCGGAAAAATTATTCTTCGCCCTGTATTTAAGGTAGATAATCTTTCAGAAGACGTGGAGCTCGTCTAAACCAATTTTTACGGAACAATGACTGTCATCGAAACTAGATTATTTACATAAATGATACACTCTAAGTGGGCGCAAGCCCCTCTAAATAAACAATGAGTTTTTTTATACTTATATTATAAATGTAGTATTAGGTGTATTCTTGTTAATATTTTGGTGCTGTTATTAACGCCAATCACGTCTTTCAGATACGTCTAGAATAATAAATTATACAAATATTAGCTGGCAATACATAATATCCAGAAAAGAAAGAATTAGAAAGAAGTTTTTTTAGTCCTACTGCTATTTGTTTAAGCCTATATTAAAAAAGCAAGTTGGGAAAAAAAAATGAAGTATTAGGTGTATTGAATTATTTTGTCAGTAAAATAATGAACTAGAAGAATAATTACGTTCTGGCTTTTATTAATATACCTTTTTTATTTTATTCAGCATTTGTTTCTTAACAAGGCGTTGTATATACATTGGAGTCATTCCATGTCGACTGTCCCAACGCTTCCAGTCGACCGTCTCCAATCTTCATGAAATTTTGCACAGAAATAGCCCTTGGTCCTAAACTAATATCCTTTTGCTCACAAGTTATCGATGCTTTGATCTGCGGGGCCATCTTGCAATGATCACGCGCTTGCAATGATCCCTCAACTTTGATTGCTTGTTTTTTTCAGTTTGGATCCACCAAGAAGGATGAAATTTAGCTGACTAGGGCAACTTTTTGTGCCAAATCCCATCGTGCAAATAACAAAGCAATTATAGTCAAACCTAAATTGCAAATTGGTGCCAAAGTTGAGCAAAATAAAACAGTTTCTGAAATAATGACCATATTTTAAGCACAAATAACTTAAGATGCTGCAGTTTAAATTAGGCAATAATTTTCCTCCATGTGTGCTTAATTTCAAAAATTCAGGAGTTATGCTTCTGAAAGCAGACGATGGCAAAAATGACAAAAAAAATTATGCAAATTTTACCCACACACTCACATCACCACACATGAAACCACAGTGAAATCTCAATTTACCGTGCTTAAAGTATGGTTATTATTTCAGAAACTGACTTTTTGCTCAACTTTGGCACCAATTTATAATTTAGGTTTGAGTACAATTGCTTTTTTATTTGCACGACTGGATTAGGCACAAAAAGTTGTCCTAATCAGCTAAATTTCATCCTTCTTCGTTGATCCAAACTGAAAAAAACAAGCAGTCAAAGCTGAGGGATATTTGAGATATTAGAGTCTAACATTTTACTCAGTTTAGTTTAGGACCAACGGCTATTTCTGTGCAAAATTTCATGAAGATGGTCGACTAGGAGCGTTGGGACAGTTGATATAGAATGACCCATTCAGGAAATGATTTAATTTGAATTTGGCGAATTCGAGATTTCTTTTGAGTTAATAAATAAATCGTTCTTCCAACTTTTAATTAGAAGTTATTAAAATTATTTGTTTGGTTTTAAATATTTGGTTTCTTCAATAAATACATTTGTTCAACACTTGGATATTATAATAATTCACAATAAGTATATTTTAATTGTCACCAAGTTTTTCCAAAACAGGTATCAATTATAATGTAACTACAAATGTTTGATATTTTCTTTTAGTTTGAAGAAATATTTTTGTCATTGTAGATACAAATAACTATACACATTGCTTTTATTGTTTCTATATCGTATATAAAGAAGAATAATTTTATTTATAGGCTTGTGTATTCTTTTTCTTATCCTTATTTAAGTTGTGTTATCAACTTGTATGCTTCAATTCTGAACTAGACAGTACAAGGTATTGATATATGTAATAATTGAAATTGATTTTCTGGTTCCACAGTATTTTACAACTGCTAAAGTTCTCCTGTTGACGTAAACTTACGTAAAGAATTCTATAAATAATGTGAGAATCTAAGATTCGTAAATATTTATTAAATTTAAATGAGCCAGCGGCACCATCAGTGGGTCATACATGCATAAAATTTCTTACCAGCTCTCAAGAAGCTAAACATTATAGGCATATATTTCTGCAGACTGGAATTAATCTCAAGTACAATCCCCTTGTTTCAGGTTTATGTATAATGGAGAAGTACACATAGGACAAGAACATTTAACGGATTTTTTAAAGACTGCACAAATGTTACAAGTGAGGGGACTAGCAGACGTACCTGCAGGAGCCGCTGGACAAAGACTGACGACTGCCCCCGAGCAAAAGATCTCACCTGTAAGTTAGTTCTTCATTTAACATGTAATTCGTAACGCAAAAATCACGCAAAACACAAAAATCATGTGCAAGCACAAGTGAACACTTTAAATGGACTGTAGTCCTCACAGTCCTTTAAGCCCCTGGAAGTTTTCTTTTTTCCAGATATCTCCGAAAACCTTCAAGATCAAACAATGAAATTGAAATTAGGTAGCATTGTTGACTATAATTTATAAATAAACTGTGATATTGTGAAAATGTGATACATTACGAAAATAAAGTATGCTGTTATTTAGTTTTTCTACTTACAATGAAGTAGTTTTCTTCAATCGCAAAGAAAATTAATACGTTGATAATTACGATTCTATACATACTATGATTTTGTGTCCTCCGCTAGAGGTCTCTTCCGTAATTGAAGGTAATGAGAAAAAACCATTAATTGCCAGATTGTGCGGTTTGTCACAAATTGGACGATTTTTCGCTTACAAAGCATTCTTGTAGAATTAATTCATACAATTAAAATATCAATAAAATTGTTTCCAAATTTTGATAATGAAACTTAACATTTTATAGGCCTGATGGTATTGTGGTTGGGGAGTGGGATGTTAGGTGCCTGACTTATCTTCTTTTGGAGTTTTACTCAGATTTTTTCTCAATTAAGTATGTACTAAATAGTGGTTATAATGTAACGCATATCAATTAAGATGAGAGGATATTTATTCTTGTATAATCTGTTCACGTTTGCTAACTTTTTTGTTGATTTTTCAGAAAATTTCATTTTTGATACCTAAAAGGTATCGCCTGCAGGTAAAAGGTAATACTGGTGATTCTACTTCTGTTAAGTCTTATGCGTATTAAACGGTTGCCATAAAGTATGAAAATTGGATGGAGTAAAAAAGGCTACAAATTATAATTTCTAAAGTGTTATTAGATTATGTGGGTCGATAGCCGCACGGTTTAAGACGTCAGTACTTAAATCGATGTGTACTATTCTGCCCGGGTTCGATTCCCGCGGCCGGTAGACCGTAGATTAGCTATGCTTGTACGGAGGATTGGCACCCTCTGTGCAGGTATGGTAGGGTGGAAGAATGTTGGCTTGGATCAATGTGAGAGATTGACACAGGTTGGCATTTGACCACCTCCCTAATGAATGGGGTTTTCCAGGTTTCCCTCATTCCTGCACTGAATGGTGGTTAGGGCCTACCAACATAAGTTGTTCCTGAGCGCAAATGCGGCCTACTTAATAATAATATGCCGCCTCCTCTCCTGCACAAGTCTCCGACTTCTGGGCTAATTCTCGTGGTTAGAACGAGGAGTATAGATATTATTATTATTTACGTGAGAAAATTTAAATCAATTGAATGAATGAATTTTCTATTTTTATCATCAATTTCCAAGTTAATTATGGTGACCGGAAAAGTATCCTGATGCGTATATATAGGGTGTCCCAGAATAACGTGTATTGTAATATGGGTGGCAAGAAAATGTATACATTTGAAAAATATTTTTTTGTACCCAAACCGCTCATTTAATTAAAATTCTACAAGGGGCCCAAAAACTTTCAAATGGTATCACCTATCAAATAAAAAATAGTTGTTATTAATACCCGAAAGAGGAAAAAGTTATGAACGGATAATATCACCATACATCAATTTTGTAGAAGTTGAGAGTTTTAAAAACGCTCTGTATGACATCAAAATTTGTAGATTGAAAGCAAAAATCCACACCCCAAAAATGATCAAAATCGATTAATACGTATTCGAGATATTTACAAAATATTGACGAGCTTTGAAGCCATCTAGCGATCAAACGAAGCGATTTCGGATATACGTGAATTAGCCTAAATCTGCCTATTTTGAGTCCACGAATCTGTGGTCATCCATTGTACACGTTATTCTGGGACACCCTATAGATATCCAAAATAAATTTCATTAACAGGAAAGTGTAATTTTCACCTATTAAATGTACTATTTCCTTACAAATTAAAAACAAAGCTAAAATGAAAGTATTTTCCAGCGGCCTATGCACTTTCCTACTAAGCTCTTTGCATCTAGTTGAAAATACATTTTTGATGCCACAAATGAATTATCTGCAAAGAAAAACATATCTCTCCTGAGATAACAAAGTTAAAGACGTATAACAATAATGACATTTTTAAAAAAGCAGTCAAATAAGCTGGAGTAATAAACTGATGAGCTCTTCTACCTTCCCGACCTTGTATTTTGACAATTTTTTTGACTGGGATAAATTAACTGTAGTTTTGAAAATAATTCTCAATGCAGTTTCTATTTTAGTAAAACACGGACAATTAAATAGGAACATATTATAGTAAGTATTGACTAGGAATTGTCGACGTATATAATAATTGTTGCATTAATTAATATTATAAAAACAACACACATTAGCAATAGAAAATAAGGCATTGCTAAAGAAGCGAATGATATTCTAGTGCAGCAAACGGACAAATTTAAAAAACGCTAGTAAAACAAATGTAGCCTCTGATTATACATATCACATGTCACTTAACATTTTGCAGCTAGCAATGTACTGTTTTTCAAAAACATTCAATGCTTATAATTTATTTTATGCAGAAACTTAAAAATAATAATTATTATTTATGCAACAAAACAAATGCATACTGTCAAACGCGATTTGAGACATTTCTCCGTAAATAAGTACATATTTTTTTTATTATTTTCAGCTGAAGAAGACATTACGAAATTTCTCAGGTTTATTTCATTGCACAAGAATAATATAAAATTGACGTCATGACAAATATGATGATATCGTATCGTTTGAAACGGAAAATAAACCAACATTTCTAATGTAGAAGGTTCTCAATGCATTTTGCTGTTATCTCAACCAGAAGGTAGTTGAATCTTGGTTTTACGCAGATTGTTAAAATATTAAGCCAATATCAGCCGTCAAACCGTAAAGTTAAATGTTACTTCCTGTGGTAGATACGAAGACTTTTTTATTTCACTTACCATTATTCACTTTCTTATTTAATATTTTAATTAATTATTGCAGTAAAGATCAAGTTCCTTAATTCAGCAGAAAATCTTTTAATCTCGTTAAATACGTGATCGTACAGAAATCAGGGCAATTAGAATTGGCTTAATCGCGAAATCAATATTTATTTTTTAACTTAATCTTTTTTTTGCAGTTTCCTAACAAAAACTATGTAAAAAATAGCAAATACTTTTGTCACTATATTAAGATGTTTTTGTTTAAAGTTACATGAATAAAACAAAAAATTATAGTGTAGGTAAATAAATAAATTTGTTGTTTAATATTACTGCAAATACAGGGGGTCATCTACAAGACATTAGCAACAATTTAAGGAGGTTCTTCTTTTGGACCTAAAAATTGCAATAACTAATAGCTAAGCGATCACTCTAAAGGATGAACATTTTTTATGTCCTATCCCATTATAAGTCTTAATTTTAACACTGATTAGATATAACATTTCACGAAATTAAAATTACAACTGCGATAAAAAAATAATTGTTACATTAATGTAAGATTTGTAAGATAGCTTAATATTTGATATTAAGAGGATATACTCGAGATATTTCTAAAGCTAACTAATTTATTAATGCTTATACTGGTAGAAATCTTAATACACATCAGTCAAATTTTCTTTATATCTATATCTACAGTGGCCACAAAAATTACGGGATAAAAAATATTCTTTTGTAAAAAGAAAACGATAAGTAATTATTTATCAAACCCAAAAAGGTCTCGGCGACAAATCATCGTACATAGCTCCTGAACAGCTCAAATTAAAGAGGATGAATCAAACTAAAAGAGCTGATAGGTGAGATTTCCAAAAAAAATGGTTTTTGAAAGGGAAGCAGAAATTTAGAATTTTTTCCCATTAGATTTCTTATAATTTGTTAAAGTTGGTCTACGATAACAAAATTGTGACTTTTAGATCTGAAATCAGGAACATCGAGCTTCAATTTGCTTTTTTTATTGCTCTACGACCATTTTTTGCCAAGTTACAGCCTCTTGAAAGTCACCTAAATAATTTAAGATTTTTTTTAATCCATTAAATTTCATGACTAGTTTATACTCAATTTAGATACATAGTTGTGTAAAAACATTGTCCAATTTGAGTCATCCTTTTTATATAATAAAAGATAGATAGAAATAGACTATAAAATTAAATCACAGTTTCCTTACCTTGCTCTTTATTTATGTTTATGGATATTTTACTAGGGCTAATTATAAAATTATTAGAAGAATTCAGCTGCAGTCAAAATTAGGAACTTCTGTCTTTGTTAAAAAAATATGAACGTCATTTCTACTAAAATGTCGACAGTGTTTGTCAACGAGTGATTTAGTGCAACTAGTCGTCAAATTAACTGCAAATATATTCTTGGAAGGAACCAGTTAGTTAATTAACGAAGGCAGCCCTGACCTATACAATGTTGTTGCAAAAAAACGTTGTTACCACCACAATAGAAGTTGAAAAAATAATTGCTATTTAAGTGTTTAAAATTTTATGTAAGTAGTTAAAGTGCGAAACATAAGTATATTTTCATCTCTTAGTCATCTTTCGTCTTTTGCATTTATTGCAGAAACAGCAGTAGATGGCAGCAAAATTAATCTAGAATATAGATGCAAATGAGTCATACCAACAATTGCGCTGGTTGTTGTGATGATTTTCTCCGATTATTTATTTAACTCTTAACAAAACTGGCATCAAAAACAACCGTTCACAGCCAGATATAAGCAAGTATTTAACTGCACTATACTACGAGATGGAAAGGAATTGCGGTAATAACAAATTTTAGCTTGCAGCAGCATTTATCGGTATGATTATGTTTCTTATAAGCTATCGATTATGTAAATATTTCTATTAAAATTGAAATTGTCTCAATTCAATCTGTTTCTAATTAATTGTACAATGATTACGAACAAAAATTACACATTAATATGTATTGTTTAGGAACTTCGAATACAATAAGTGAAATAAAGAATAATAATTTTGTCGACAAAACTCGAATACCCAT